AAGCTAGAGACTTACCAAAGGTTTCTAAGCTTGGATAAACACTATATGGGCTAATGAAGCTCTGCTCTTAATTTCTTAGATCTTTTAAGCCGTCTTTTGTTAACTTTTTAATAAATTAAGTAAACAAAAACTATTAAAAAATATTATACAAACATTTTAAGAAATTCCTCACAAACTTCCTCCTATATCCTTTAGAAATATAATAATACATTACTTAAATAAAACCTTCTTCAAATTATACATGTCTAAAAATTCTTCTCTAATATCTTAATAAAATCTCAAAACATATTCCCCCAGTGTATGCTATTCCCCTTTATATTGGCCAATTAAGGAATATATAGCTCCTCATTCTCCTGAAACTTCATATCGACAGTTGGCCCAAGATGTGGGCGCATTCCGCAATTCCCATTCCACCTCCTTGTTCAGGGTGCATTCGGGGCCTGAGACTTGGCCATATATACTCGGTAATTCCTGCTAATTGAACCGAATGGCTAGAGGAGATATTAAGTTACACCCCCGAGGTGAGGTGCCATGAGGGAGAGAAACCAGCAGCTTTCTCGAGGGTCGCGTGTTTAATAATAATTTCTTTGGAATATGTTTATGGTAAGCCGTGGTCTAATTAAAATCAATTGCCTTAATTGAAAGTCCAACAGAGCCCTGCTCTGCCCTTTGTCTACGTTTCTGTGAATATATCTTGTTTTATTTGGTTTTTTCATCTCCTCGAATATCGACACATGAAGGTAGCAATTTGATCGCCGGCATTATTTATGGGTCCGACCGAAAGTTCCACGGAGCATGGCGGAAAGAGCTCTTCTTCAGTCCCATAAATCAGCATCACTAAAAGTATCAAATTGGCATAAATCTACAAACTGGCCGATACAAAGAACTATAAATGGCGTGCATGTTAATTTTTCAAAATGCCGCGACAGTTTGCTGCTGGTAATTGCGAACTTGGCAAGTGCCATATATTATATTATTTTGGCCAAAAGCACTTGATATATGACCGGAGGGGCCTCATGATAAATCTCAGACGATATAGTTGCTCTGTAGATTCTTGTGTGGGCTTCTACTTGGCTTCTTGGCCAGCATGTCGCCAGTTGCCTTGGAGTAGAGTATGATTCCTTGTTTAGCCTTATCTTGGCCCAAACAATTCATATAGAAAATGTAATCCTGACAACATGCAATTTTGTTTTATATTTTGGCCTGCAAGCCTTTCTTGAATGACTTCACTGCCAATTGTCTTGCATCGTAAATTATGTAAATTGTTTTGAGAATACACTCTGTTGGCAGTTTAATTAGCTTGACATAATAATGGCAGAGTGGGTGGCATTTGTCATTTTTTGCATTGTTTGAAATAGTTCAAGAGATTTATTGAAAAAATTAAAGAACTTGTTTTGAAGCTAGATTAGTATATTTTAAATCCTTTAAAATTTCTTTGAATAAAACTTTCTCTTCTATTTCCAGAGTTCTTTAAAAACTCTCTGCAAATTAATCTCTCTAAAACATTTAAAATATGTAAATTCCCAACTAAACAAATAAACAATACCTTCATATTTTAAGCAACCCATAAAAGACCAAATATATATATATGTGTTTGCTTATCCTTCACTTAATATTTCATCGCGAACTTCAACCTCAATTATGAAAATGAAAAGGGAAGCGCGACCGTATCTCTCCTTCCCTCAAAAATATAAACTCAACCCCGTGTGTAGGCTGTTTTTGTGGACAGAAAAACCCGCTGAACATACCTCAACTCGGGAATTTTAAAATGGTTCAACGCACTTACTGGTTTGAGCGACGAGAATGTGCACATAACACTAAATGGGTTCACTTTCCGCTACCCGCAGCACCATCCATCCATATGTGGAGAATGTATGGCAGCAGATGAGGGGTAAGAAAAAAAGGAAAACAAATTTCAATTTAGCTTAAAGATTTTGCACATAAAATTTGTAACACTCAATTAGTTTAAACGACAACGAAAAATGTTGCCAGACCGAGCCATAACAACAATAGAGTGATATGTATATATAGCTACCCTTCGCCCGCTCCTTTGGATTCCTTTTTCCAGGAGGTCCTGAGCAGCAAATCGCATAAATGCGGCGACGTATGAATTTCGTTTAATATGATTAGTGAGTAAACCTCACATCCACACCCCCTGGATACACCCTTAATATGTGAGGTACATACTATATGTTATACAAGTGCACTCTAATGGAGTAACCCCTCATAAGTATATTGGCCCATAAAGATATTTACGCTGCATACTTGCGGGCGCTGTGGCATAAATCAAGCCAAGCACATCATTATGATGAGCTTGGAATAGGGAAAAGACAATGTTTGAGGAATTTGATATAGATAAACTTATTTGAGGAGGTATTTTTCAAGGGAAAGTGAAAGGAAATTCTATTCTATTCTATTAATTAAAATATTAAAAATACAGAGGAATTGCTGGAAATTGATCAAGAAACTCTCGTAAACAGCAAAGGAACAAGAAAAACCATATTGACCATATATTGAATTCTCTTACATACCTCTCTGAAATATAATATATTTTAAATAAAATGGTTTATAAAATTAAGTTTTCTTTAAAAACCCAAGAAATAAGCATAAAAAACACTGGGAAAGGCGATATTTTAATTGTAATCTCTTATATAGAGTTAAAAGTATAGTTTCACATATAAATACTTATTTTAAATTGATGTGTTTACCAATTCCTTCTTCAATATCGTCATATATTAGTAGCCCTAATATTACAATTCTTCCTTAAGTGAACTCAATATACTCTTAATATTAATATACCCTTAATACCACAGTTCTTCCTTGAGTGTACTCAAGGTGGTGGTGGTTCAACATAAAACAACCTCCGAATAAATTTAATTTCGCTAATGTTGTGTAATGCTAAAACCGTTTACGCTTCTATGCTGCTCAAGTGGGATTCCCCGATTAGAAACGAATGCTCTTCTATTCGAGGCTGCTTAAGAGAAAAAAACCCACAAACATAGAAAAGAGGGCAATGATGATGTTGCAACCACCCAATCCCTTACACTCCCCCATCCCTCCGCGCCACAGAAATCCCAGCTGGTCGAGGTGGGTCAGTCAGTCAATCACCAGGACCAAATCTTTATTAATTCTGATCGATGAGCTGAGCTTTCGCAGTTGCAACAATCAAATGATTGAGCGCTTACAACAAAAGCTCTGCAGCCCTAGAGGAGGAATGGGACCCTTAGCTCATACAAATTCGACAGCTGAAAGCATTTCCGCTTCCGTTTGCTTGTCCCTGTGTTTGTCCATACATCTTTCTGGGTTTTTGTCTTTGGCTCTGTGGATCTGTCCCCCATCCCATCCCAGTTCCTACGATATTCCACCTCTGCCATGTAGCCAGTGTCCATCGATGATGCAATGAAGCGCGTTTATTTGCTGCTCGTAATTTATTTACTGCCCAACTCCGTGCACTTCGATTCCATTCGAATGGAACCCCATTCGGAATGTCTCTCCTCTGTGGGTATATTCTCCACTCTCAAACTTGTTAGTTAAATATTGCCAGAAGCTGAAACTCTTCTAGCTGGGGCACTGGGAGAAAATGCCTTAAAAACAGAGGACTTTAAAAACAATTTCTAATACCTTGCAGGGTATTATAAATTCAGTCAGCAGCCTAAAACAAAGTGAAGGAATCCTTTCCGAACCCATAAATCATATATATTCTTGATCAGAATGAACAGCTGAATCGATCAAGTCATGCCCGGTCAAAAAATAAATTTTTGCAAATTTTTCAAAATTTCAAAATTTTATAAGGGGTTACATCGTTAAAATTGTTAAAAATTTGACAAAAAATTAAATTTTTTAAATTGAAAAACTCAGTATGCAGATTTGTTAACCTTATAAAAACTAGGCGTGAAATACTTTCCGAATTGAAATTGATGCATTTTTGGCTTAGTTATGATATTTGAAAAACTTCGATTAACCCCAAAAATGACCAATTCATATTCCAGCTAATTCCCATTAAATATTTACTGGTTATTTATTATTTTTTGTTATTGAAAGAGTTATTTCTTTCCCTGTACTCCCTCAGAGTGATAAATTAATCGCTACATCAGTTTTTAATTCCGTGTTGCTGGCGATTTATCTTGGGCCCCCAGTGGGGCAAGGTTTTCCAGCAAGAGAAAGATAGAATAAACTGAATGCAGGCCAGGATTGAATTCAACCCACTCACAATGGATGTGGCCAAACACACAACCTTTACTCCTTCTCCAGAGACAGGCACTGTTTAAAATGATGTATGGCACAAATTTTGACAAATGTACAAAAATGAGTCATGAGTTCGCGGGGCAAACACAAGGCATTTGTTGATGTTGCTGATGTACATGTTGCTGCTGCTGCTGTTGATGTTGTTGCTGCTGTTGCTGTTGTTGCTGCAGTTGCTGTTGCTGTTGCTGTTGCTGTTGCTATTGCTGCTGATGTTGCTGTTGCTGTTGTTGCTGCTGTTGCTGTTGTTGCTGCTGCTACTACTCCTACTGTTGCTGCTGCTTGACTGCACTATTTACTGTTGACTTTTTCATGTACTGGCTGCTATCCATAAAACAAACACAAACTGGCGGCGAAGATGGCGCTGCTGCTGCTGCTTACACATGTTTTTGCAAAAATATATACAAAGAAGCTCGAAGGAGGTAAAAGGGGACAAGGCAGGCGGCAAACAGGCGCCATAATTAATCATTTATGGTTTACCTTAACTCGGAGAGGAGTTTTGCGCACAGCAGACTTTATGCAGAGTTTTTGTATAAAGAAGGATTGGCTCTGCAACTTAATTTCTCGAGATTTTAAAAAATAAATTATGCTAATGATAACAATTTTCTCAGAATTTAAGTTGCCGCTTTCTTCTTAGCTTAAGAATTATATTCTTAATGACCATCAAAGTAGCCTTAAAAAATATTAATCTAAAAAAGCAAAACCCCAATCTAGTTAGCTTTGATTCCAATGTCATTTGGCTGTCAGGAGACGACCTGGTTTGCCATCGTTCCAAGTGCCAGTCTCACGTCTCGTGTAGACTTATTAACAGCGTCTGGAATATCGAGTTCCGGACTTTTACGTTCAGAGCTTTCGGTTCGCTTGCAAGTCTTGAGAGGTACGACGAGTGATTCGGGATACGGGCAGAAGGACTATGGCCAATCGCTCCAGCCAGCAAGACCGCGAGTTCAACAATGATGGCGAACACATGAATCGCGACTATCATCGTAATCACAACAACCGGGACAATAGGGACAATCGGGATAATCGTGGCGGCTTCCGTGACTTTCGTAATCGCGACCGAAATCGTGATCAACCGCGTCAGGTGCCCACGGAGCCGCCCTTCAATGCCTATGTGGGTAATCTGCCCAAGGGTCTCGTCCAGGGCGATGTGATGAAGATTTTCTCCGACTTTGAGGTGAAGAATGTGCGCCTTATCAAGGATCGAGAGACGGACGAGTTCAAGGGCTATGGCTACGTGGAGTTTGAGACCTTGACACAGCTGAAGAGGGCCCTCTCCTGCAATGGTCGCATCAAACTGGATAACTTTTCGGCTCCGCTGCGCATCGATATAGCGGATCATCGCCGCACTCTTCCCGGTGCTGGCGGCGGAGGTGGTGGCGGTCCAGGAGGATCTCATAATATGGGTGGCAGAGGAGGAGGAGGAGGAGGAGGAGGAGGAGGAGGAGGAGGAGGAGGAGGCGGAGGCGGTGGAGGAGGTGGAGGTGGTGGAACCTACCAACAGCGACGCAATTATCGTCGGGATGACAGCGTTGGTTCCCATCAATATCCTCGGCGCAGTAACAGCAACCATCAACTGTCCCGCAGCAGTCCCACTCAAAGCTCCATGTCCTTTGGCAGCACCCGTGATCTGCGTGGCAACTACAACAATCGTGGAGGAGGCGGTGGTAATCGTTATCAAAGCAGCAATTCGCGCATGCGCAACGACAACTCCAATTTCGATGAACAGCAGTCGACCAGCGGTTTCCAGCGTAGCCGTAACTTTAGTTTTAATCGGTAAGGAACATGTTTATTCACAAAAATCACAAGGAAACGATAGAATTCTCAAGAAGTTCTACAAGACTTGGATTTTTTACACATTTGGGACTGGTTTCTATCCATCCTGTCAGATTTTCGAGGTCAGATAAAATCCTGACATTGACCGGGTCTTAAACTTGACTGTCAAATCTTTTCGGACTTGTTGAAAGGTCAACTATTTTTTTATATACTAATGGAAAAGGTCTCTTTTAAGATGTTGTGGTCGCACCTTGCAACACAATTAGGAGCTTTAAGGGAACAATCGATAATTAATAGTACAACTAACAGTATTTTTCTTCTACTAATATATATATTTATATTATTAATTCACAGGACCTTTAGCAACAACACTCTTGATGGCGGTGGCGGTGGTCAGCGGCAGCGCAACTTTGCTAGCGGTGGAAATTCAGAAAATGGAAACTACAACAACTTTGTGCAGAATCGAAATCGAGATCGCCGTGGTCACTATAATCCCAATAATGCCGGAAGTTCGGGTTACCGCAACAATGCGCATGGCGAATATGGTCGGGATCGCAGAGGAGATTCAGGACACGGATCTGGATCGTCAACAGGACCAGCTTCAAACAATCCTTTTGGGGCTTTAGACGAAGATGATCGTCCGAAATTGGTCTTAAAGCCCCGAACTGTAACTGCTCCCATTAATGCATTGGCCGAGACCAAACAGGCAGCTTTAATCTTTGGCAAAGCCAAGCCCCGAGAGGATAATGCCAGTCCTTTATCTTCGCCACGTGAAAACGATAATGGTGCCGGATGTTCATCCGTTAAAGCTGGTCCCTCTTTCAGGGGACCAGGTGCCAATGCCGAGGATAGCAGCGATTAATTTCCCATTCATGGAAGAATCACGGATACCTGATATTTTCAAGAATTTTAATTAATTTGCAATTTTCCGTGGATTTTTCAGAATTTATACAAATTACGTATTTGTAGGTACCCGGGAATCATATCCAAATCTATATTTGTGGCTAGATCAGATAGATATACACTTCATTTTGATGCTAGCTAACAAAAAGGAAAATTCCAAATTTTTTCTCTTGGTTAGACGCCATTAAGTCCCATTTCCGATTCCATATGCGCATCATTTAATTGCAAATCTTTAATAATAATAATAATAATAATACAACAAAACTTAAATTTCTTTTAAATTGGAAAACTTGAGGAATGCCACTTCTTAGGGGACATCTTAGATCATTTCTATTTCAAATTATAATGTGTTTCACCTTTATGTTTGTACATAAATTACAAACTTTTTCATTTATTAATTTTTAATAACTTTTAAGCTAATCCGAATAAGTAATTTCCCTTCAATAACGACCTATTGACAACAAGCCAAGGTAATTTACCTAATTAGACAAATATCGGCCGTCAACAATAACCATAAAAATTCACAACCTCCATAAATCGCAAAAGTTAATGCTCGGTGACAAAGTCCAGGGGCAGAAGGACTCTTAATACTCACCTCCGGCAAAAAAAGGACACTCGGCGGCATTAACTAGTCAGCTCGAACTAATTGAATTGAACGAGAGATTAAAGAATTTTACGCCGAAATGAAGACGTTGGTTGGCAGTGAAGCGAGGCGGAAGTGGAATAGAGTGTCCGGGAGTCTCAGTGTCCAGGACACTTGTCCGGGTATTTATGGGCCAAGATTTACGAGCCACAACAAGAAGTCGTGGCAGCCACTTTCTGCCCGGCATCCTGAATTCCTTCAATTGAGCACCGCGTATCCCCTGGCTTGTACAGGCAAATTGGCTTAATTTCTTTTTAATTTGCTGCCGCGTTTTTCTCTGTCCCTTCCTCATGAAGTTCTCAAAGCCTCTCGAAATTCAATTTGAAAAAGTGGCCCCGGTCACCGGAAAATGGAAAAATACGTTGGTCGAGAGGTGAATAGCCACGCCTGTTTCCATTTAAATTTTCTTAGTCGATGATATAGGGGAACCCCCGGCCAAAAAGCCAATTTACGCACGAACATTTTTTCAATTTACGCGACTGAAACCGCAGTGAAACCGGCGACTCCCCCTTCTAATTTTCCTCTCATTTCTCGCCCCCTGCTCTTAAAAGCTGCACTTTATAGAAATCCCGCGGAAAATTCACGGCATTAAAGGACTTTTCTTTTCTTTTCGCTTCACGTTTTTTTTTCTGCCTTTATTTCTTTATTCCTTTTGAAGTTCGCCCACTGGCCGCGAATTTTATTTGCCTTTTTTCCGTCCGGCCGCCCGGGTTTTCCCGGTCTTTTCGCGCCGGACTTTTCCCGTTAATGTGTCACACGCACTTTATAAGCAATTGTTGTACGGAGGGATGTGGATGTGGAAGTGGATGTGGATGACGATGGCGTCTGGAAAAGTTGACGATGCCGTCGACGCCCATGGCGCAATTATTATGATTATTAGGTACAGCTGCACTTGCCCAACATTGGATGAGGGGGCAGATCCTCCCAGAGGGCGGTTGCCACTTATAAACAAAAAAAAAGGAATTGTAATTTACCTTGGAGTTAAGGGAACACGGAGAAAAATTAACGAAGTAAATGTAGAAATTCAGGGAGATTTTAAATAACACTCAAAGCGAATATTAATCATTAATAAAAGCATCTAAAGTTGAGAGAAACCATCTTCCAAATTATTATTTAATATTTTTTCTACCTAAAAATCATTATTATTACTTCATTTTTATTCTTACTAAAGAGTACAATTAAAATGTAAACGAAAAACAATTATAATTTATCCGCTTCTTCCTTAATTCATATTAACTTCGAATGTCAAAGATTTTTCTCAATTAATTATTATTATTTATTATTATTATCAATTCAACTTAATATAAAAATTTCCTAATATGTTTCTCGCAGTGTCCTTGAAACTTTTGGCTCCGCTTTTGTTGTTGTTGTTCATTAGGGTGGACCTGAACCGTCATCCGCCTTGGCCGGCTCTGGGATGCTGTGCATCGCCTTGGGGGTCACGCGTTAATAATCGCGCTGAATGACTTCATAATGAAAATATTAAAGGTGTTTGTTGGTGCTATTGCTGTTGTTGTTGTTGTTGTTAGCCGGCGGCCAGGATCAAGATACGTATACACACTTATATACGTAACGCCCGCAGGACTCTCCAACACAAAAGGCGCAAAGTTTATGTTTATGTCATGCGCTCAAATAAGGCCAAAAGGGTGTGAGGTCATTCTCGGGATATAATTTAATAATAATGCTCTCTTTTTTTTCATTAAATATAAGTGCACCGGGAGTGGAGGAGAAAGAGCAGGAGTCACTTCAAGTGGCAGGTTGAAAGGGCCATAAGAAGTGAAGAAATGAAAGGTTAGAAAGGAAACTTTGCACTCTAGAAGAGTCCTGGGAAAGGTGATACACCTTAATGATAACTTGGCTTAAATTAAAGAAATATAAACTAAAATAAATGATTGGAAAAGTGATGAATGTAAAACTATTTCAATTTACTTAGACTTATTTTAATATGAGCTTCTTAATCAAATGAATTAAGGCTATAACATTTCCTTCGAGATAAATCAACTTCAAAATAAATACAATACAAAATCCTCTTAAAAACCAACCCAAACTATACCCTACTTAAAGTCATGCTCAAAAACTATTTAAAATTCAAAACTGAACCAAGATATCTTCAAATTAAAAGCAATACCACTTTGGCATTCAAGGCCAATAGTCAATATTTGGGATATCAGCAATCAAATCGTGTTTGCGCTTTCAACGTACGAACTCCCCCAAAGAAACAATTAAAGTTGACCACGACAAGGGGACACACACACAGGACACATAGGACATTAGACTTCAGGAGCGCATAGAGAGAAACCCGAGGGCCATAAGTAATATTTTAAATGTAGTTCGGGCTAATTGTCATGCCATCGACGGCGTCTTATCGGACCGGCAGCAAAACAATTTGGCCAAAATTTATGCAATTCAAACGAACTAGAGAGGAGGAGGACGAGGCCCCAAGGGGCACAGGACACACACACACACAGGACATGCAGGATGCCGAGATACACAGATAAGCTGGGACATATTAAGTCAAAAATGCTGCCTGCCATTAAAATGCTAGCATTTGCAAGTTTATCTGCGACTCGGAGTCTGAGTTGTATCGACAGGACACTGGACACAAACAGGACACTGAAAAGTAAGCAAGGAGGTGAGCGGAAATCTAACGAACAGTGGAACAGTGGAGTCCATTAAAAAGGACTAAATGGCAATTAAGCATTTGGGCAAGGAGTCACACTGAGGCTGAGGCAATTAAGCCTCCCTGCTTTTGCTTTTCGGCCAAGGACACTGGGCAATTAAGCTGGACCAAAGTTGGCCGGCCCGAATCCCTTGGCACTCGACCACCAGGACCTCTTATCCTTTTCACCTATCTCTGTCACTGAGTTGGGTGGAAAACTTAAATGAGTTTCCGAGGGGAGCAATTTGAATTTGAAGCCAACAACGACGTGGCGGCTGCAACTTTGATTGGCTGGCCGCTTGACTGCACAGGAGATTTATCTCAGAACCCCCGATTGCACATAAATCCCGAGGAGGTTCCTTGACGCTCCTATAGAATACCTAAACCGAGTCCAAGGGATCTAGCCATAAAAATATTTGAAATACCCGAAACATGCACATGTGGAGGAAGAGTAGTAGGAGTAGGTGGAGCGACATCTTCGACATGCTCGTTTAAAATAATTTATTGCACTGGCTTGACACCCATTGCCATACGACGACCGCCGCCACCGGTTTCCAAATATTTCGAGAAGATAAATTGCGCAAATAGAAAAATGCTCTAATTAAAATTATGCACAAATATTCAAGATTTCCTAACGCTGCCTGCCATCCACATCCATCGATTGGGGTGCCAATTAAAATTGATTGGAAATTCCGGAATGAAATTCCTGGCATTCCTACGGCACGTGGGCGACTTTCTATTTCTATATCTGAACAGCAGCTGTCTGTTGTCCTTATCCTTTCCCTCGGAATTAGCATGCTGCAAGGCTGCTTTTGAAGTACCGGAGATAGAACCGACTACACATCCTGACCATTCCGCTCGACTAACTCCCAAAGTGTTTCAATAAAACAAAAAAGCTAGAGGAGAGTAAAAATCTCAATTAACACTCTAGTTCGTGAAATGCAGGCAGATGGTTAAATGCATGCATTTAAGGGGCATCCCCGGCCCACGCTAATGTAGCAAATAAAACGGTCACCTTAATGGATTCCTGTTACGCGGTCTGGCTCCGAATTGGACAGAAGGTGGCTGCGAACAGGACTCCGTGCTGTGCCGCCGATTGTCCTTGAATCGCCGTCGTTCGCCACTTAATCCAATAGCGCACATGTCGAGTCCTAACAAAAGGACCATCGCCCATCCCTTCGGCCACCTTAAGCGGCTTTCACCTTGACGTTGCCACCACCAACAAGGGCAACAAAATCAACACCACCGCGAATCCAGAGGCAACTTTTAGCCTCGACTTGATTTTCGCACTAGCCTGCACTGGAAAGTATTTATTAAAGGATGTTGTAAAACGAAATTTATATTATTTTAATATATTTTTGTAAGAAAGAATATCTATTCATGGGTTTTAGCTTCAAATATCTTCAAACAATCGATACATTTATATTTCTTGTATCCCTAATATAAGCTGCTATACTTTGGGCTTAATTATCGGTTTCCGATTTCAGTAAATAAAGTAAGCCGCCTCAAAACTACTCAAAAATATTTTAAATATCATTATAAAAACCTTCCCTGCTAGTTTTCGCCAGTGTAATTTCCACATATAAGGAAATCCAGTCGCTAATAGGGGGAGTCTTGAGTCCTCAGGGGTTGTGCAGGACCAACAACTGTTGTGAAAAACGGAACGTGTAGTTCAACGCTTTCCAGGACTTATCACACACACGCACGACCGCACCATTGCACCACCCAAAAAAATAATAAGGGGAACCACTGTATAATGAACCCATGGACCACTGTGCCACCTTCGCTTGATTTCTGGGTGACGCATTACGATGATGTATTAGCAATGGAATTAAAATTAAAAGCGCTCAGCAAATTTGATAAGCGCGACGAGATCAGGTTGCCATTGCCCCTTTAATGAAGTCTTTGTTACAATATAAAATATATATATATAAAGTATACAG